TTGTATAGGTAGTTGCTTTCTTCCTTTTTAATGATATTTGGGAAAACGTCCTATAAAGGAACTGCAGTCATAAAGTATAGTCACTTGTTGCCATTATTGCCCTCCAGAGTGTTTGCACTAAGCTGTACCAGGTTCCTTACAGATCTGTCAAAATTTATTTTTTTTCCATTTCAATGCATTCTATGCTTTCTGTTGCATGCAATTTATAAGGACCTTGTCTTTGTAACTCTCACAGCATCTAGTAAGTTCTTAAATGGCTGTTGAATGAATTAAGGACGTGTTTAGAAATGGGAAAAAATAATTGTAATATACCTGTACACTGTTTGGATGTATGTGGATATTTTAAATGAAAAAATTTAGAAATTAATGTGATGTCTCCTTCCAAAGCATCTATCTCTTTCACCCAAATACAGAGGCAGCTAGGTGGTCTGATGGATAAAGTTCTGGGTCTGAAGTCACAAAGATCTGAGTTCAGATCCAGCCTCAGACACTTCCCAGATATGATCCATGGCAAGTCACTTCACTTCCATCAGCCTCAGTTTCCTCAACTATAAAATGGGGATAAATAGCACCTACTTCCCAGGCTTGTTGTGAGGATCTAATGAGATTATTTGTAAAGCGTTTAGCACAGTGTTTGGCAAAGCTCTATAGAAGTAACTGCTAGTCATTTTATTATCATTATTATTATTATTATTATTATTATAGCTTTGAAGACCTGAAATAGCTTTAAGATTGTGCCTCTGTTGCTTCTTTAAAAAAAAAAAAGATGTTGATGCTCTTTATTGCTTTAACTGGAATACAATAAAACCTCATTAATTTGGACACAACTAATTTAGAATTCATGGTAGGGGTAAAATCTTGTCATAGGTCATGCCTTTGCAAACTGTTATGCATGACAAGACTATATTCTTGTTTGCTTGAAAGGAACCGGTGACAAGAAAATTCTCTCCAGTACCTGTTGGCCTGGAATTTTATTTCTTTTGACTAAGGACCATTGTAAAATTTTTTTCTGTGATCTTCAAAATAAAACATAAAGATCAAAACAGACTAAAGTTAGAAGGAGCTTGAGTACCAGAGTGACATTTTGAGAGTTGCCCATAAAAGGGATTGGCTCGATAAATCACAAGGCCTCCAGGCCCTGTAATAGTCATTTTCTCTAACTCGAGGGCCCAATTGCTGAGAGGAAGGGAAAATTGAGTTGTCCTTTAGTTTTTCACAGTTCCAAGCTTTTTCTCTTAAGAAACAGTTACCCTTCCATTCCCTTCATTTTTTTTTTTTCTACCTTAGAAGTATCAATACCTCCTCCTCCCATCCTCTCATGTTCTAGGAACTTAGAGAAGAAAAAAGAAAGTGTTTTGTGCTCCTGCCTCCTTTACTGTATTCATGGCACTTCAGTTTACCATGCCTTGGAGATCCCATGCTGATCTCTGAGCCCTGCATATGGGGATTTTCACTTTACAGTTGGCCTTAAATACATGAAGGATTTTAAAAACCTTCTGCAAATATTGGAAAATATCAGTTGTACCAAAGACCAGTCATAGATTGATGAATCAATGACAAGTCTTAGTTCTTATTTTTTCTTCAACAGAATTCTGCTCTTCACAAAAGACTTTATTTTAGAAAATCTAATTCATCCATTTGTTTGAGGAGGAAGCTAGCCTAGAATGGAAGGTAGCTTTCAACAAAATGATTGCTTTGTACTTGAGGCATAAGAAAGGATTTTTCTTTAAAAACAGAGTAGTCCGCAATCTTTTCTCTCTTTCTAGGGCAAAACTCTATCTGCAGAGTTAATTAGTTTGAATAGTTTGGCAAGGTATGGAGCTCACTATTTGGGGCAGATTCCAAACAGTTCTGGGGTTAAGCTCTTTTAGACCCTTTAAAAAATGTGATTAGATACATATTTTAGCCTATTTACAGATTGCCATCTTAAAGTGATTTTTGTCTTTTTAAGTGAAGTAACTTAGCCTGTTATGGGTGGAGATTTTTGCTTCCATAATCCCTACTGAGGGCAACAATTTCCCCAAATCCTCACTCTTCTGTCTGGCACCTGAGCCCCAAACCTCCTAGGGAGATCTGCTGTAATCTGCTTGTTTTCTCTTTCTTTTTTTGTTCTGGAGATAGTGTGCGTGTAGATCTTAACCGAAATCTTTGGTTACCTTCACCTGATTTCTGTTTGTGGCATTATCTTGATTACTTTGCTTGATGACTTAAAAACTAAAACAAAACCACCTTTGTGGCCCTCTCACTCAATTAAAGACAGTAGGATGGCCTGGGGCTCTCCGAACGGTTTCAGCATTGATTAAAATGGAAAGTTACTTGCATTTATCCTCCACACAACAATGAAACCCATTTGAAGCTACTTTGAGAAATTCTTTTAAGTGCCTTAGGAGTGTGAGTGTGGCTTTGATATGTGAAAAGACCAGGTGGCTTTGGTACTTTCTTTGTGGTTCTCCTGCTTGGAGGCTGTTGCCTTAAAGGTACAGGTGATGAGGGCCTGAGCTGGGATGTCAGACAGTGCTCTTTGGCCTATGGTTGTTCGTTATACTGGAGGTGAGTGAAAGGGAGAAGGTAAAGTATTGGAGCTTAGTGCTGGAACCCCACTGTCCCCCGGAGGGTGGTGGCCTCTGCTTTCCCTCCAGGGATGTGGCCACAGGGAGGGCATGGGTGGTTTTGGTTTCTCCTGGATCCTCCTTAATCTTAGTGCCTTCCCTTTGAGATTATCTGCATTTTGTCCTGTCTGTATTATCGCTCCCATTAAATTGTAAGTTCCTTGAGAGCAGGGACTATTTTTTGCCTTTTTTTTTTTTTGGTATCACTTAGAACTTAGCTTGGCATCAAGGTGGCATCCCAGTGCACAGAGCCCTGGACCTGAAATCAGGACGACGTGAGTTCAAATTCAGCCTAAGAAATTTACTAGTTGTATGATGCTGGGCAAGTCACTTTACTCTGTCTCAGTTTCCTCATCTGTAAAATGGGAAGAACACTTACTTCATAGGATTGTTGTGATGATCAGATGAGATAATAATTGTAAAATGCTTAGCACAGTGCCTGGTACATAGTCAGAACTATAGAAATGTTTGCTGTTATTTTTGTTGTTAACGAGCTTAGCACAGTCCCTGGTACTACCTGGCATAATTTAATAGTTGATGATGACTTAATTTATTCTGACATAATAAGAGAATGGGCAGCTAGGTGGCTCCATAGTGCATAGAACGCTGGGGTGGGGAGGCTGGGGGTCCAGAGTCTTGAAGACTCCTCTTTCTGAGTTCAAATCTGGCCTCTGATACTTACCAGCTGTGTGATCTTGGGCAAGTCACTGAACCCTGTTTGCCTCAGTTTCCTCATTTATAAAATGAGCTGGAGAGGAAATGGCCAACCACTCCAGTATCTCTGCCAAGAAAACCCCAAATGGGGTCACAAAGAGTCAGACATCTGAAACAACTGAACAGCGGTAGCAGCAAACGAGAGAGTGAAGCGGTTTGTGGTCTCCTCAGAATCGCCTACCTTGTTGCACGGGGGTCCACGGGACAAGTTGGGTGTGAATCCCCCACCGTGTAATTTGGGACCTCAGATGCCCTTATTCCCTGGGGTTGGCATGCCTTTACATGATTGAGTCTGCATTCCTGGAGACAGATCACCGCCACGCGATTACATTCCATCTCTCTCAGGATCTGAGGAATAACCGGTTGAGGTGAAATAGGCTCTGGTTATTCACCACCATGGTTCTGAAGTTCTTTTCCAGTGCACTGTCAATCTGCATTGCCACAGGCAATGTCTCATGTCCTTTGACAATAGTGTGCTGCACTTGACCTCATAGGACTTCTGCCAAGATCTAATGGGTTACATTCTTCTTTGGTCTTTACAAAAAGACGTGCCTATACTTAGTTAATAAGAAAAATCCAAGAGGGGACCCATATTAATAAGGAATCATTAAAAAAAAAACCAAACAAACCAAAACAATTTTATAGTAGAATGTTTACCTTCAGGAAGTTGTTCAGAGATAGTTTCAGTTGGACGATATTCTTTTTTCAGTGACACTCCAATGATTTTTAAAAATCTGTGCCAGTAAGATTCTCATATGATATAATCAAGTGCTATTATACATTTGTCCTTATTACTAAAATAATAATAATAATAACCAACATTTCTGTAGCATTTACTGTGTGCCAGGAACTACACTTTATAAACATTATCTCATTTGATCCTCAAAACAACCCTGGGATGTAGGGTTAAGGGGTGTTAAAGGGCCCCCTGAACTTTTGTTTTTGAGTTGCCATGTTTTCCAGAGACTCTGAACCCAGAGCATGCAGGAGGTGCTGAATGTGTCAAGGATGAAGCGCCCCCCCCCCCCACCCGCTGACATAATTTGTTATTTGCATCCCAAGCTGGATTCCCTGTGTGTCCTTGGGAGGCAAGACTGGCAACTGAGCCAGGCTGGGGGCCTTTGCAGATAAGCCGAACCTCCTACCCTCTAGTTTGGTGGTTCCCAAGGGAAAAGAATGTGGCCTTTGCCATCGCCTTGCACCTCCCCTTTGGGAGGGCTCATTGCACCATTCCCCTCCCATGCCATGCCCCTTCCTGTTCTGTCCTTCTCTTTTTGGTGTACTGTCATAAATATGCAAACTTCTGTAAGGACTCTGAACTCTTTGGGTTCCACATGCATGTTAATTTCTCTTATAACAAACCTAGTTTTCATATAAGTCTCATGACGTGATTGCCTGTTGACACTCGGTGCTATTGTTATCCCCATTTTACAGATGAGGAAACTAGTGAGTGTCCGAGGCCAGATGTCCAGATGTGAACTCAGGTCTTCTTAACACCAGGCTCAGCACTCTAGCCACCTAGCTTGTACTACATTATATAACAGGATTTTGGGGTGGGTGGGGGACTGAAATTCTTCTTTGGCATGGTGATTTGTTTGAGATATAGACCTTTATTGACTGTGTTATTTTGCAAAAAATGAAACAATGTAGTTTACTAATATCTTCCTTTTCTTGCAGAAGACCATCTCAGACATGTAGAAAAAGATGTTTTGATTCCTAAGATTATGAGAGAGAAGGCCAGGGAGAGGTGTTCTGATCAAGTGCAAGGTAAGATTCGAATATTCATCTAAAGATCAAATGCATTCTTTGATAATGTGAGTTGAATTTAATCCTTAGCTTCAGAGTCAAGTAGTCAGTAAATTAATTTGCATGATTTCCCTCATATTCTAGCTATGAGACCTTGCAGGAAGGTTTCAACTTATGTACAATTTACAATATTCTCTAAAATCATGTAGTAAAAATAGTTCTTCAGAAATGCAGTCCTGGGGATGGAGAAGAACCTTAAAAATCCTTTCTTCTAGTGATTAATTGTGGTAGGGGGAAAAAAGCAACACTGAGCCATATTACAGCCTTTTTTTATCCACTTTAATCAACAAAGTTTGTGTGTGTGTGTGTGTTTGTGTGTGGACATGTATGAGGAAGCTTTGGCCAGAATGGCAGGTTTGAGTCATGGAATGGAGTACTCTGTTTTGGGTGGAGGTTGTCAACAGGCAATCACAACCTCCAGCAACTTTCGTGGAAAAACTAGGTTTATTACAAGAGAAATGACCTGGTATGTGGAGCCTAATCCAGTGCAAAGAGTTCACAATCCAAACAGAAGCCTTACCTTGGGGGAAAAGGGTGGTTCTGGCCGAGCTCCTTAGCTCCTTTAATGGAAATCGGGGCTGGGGAGGGTTCATTAGGCAACCATAAGTAAGATTAAAGAAGGGAACCTGTAAAGGATGACATTGAGATTTTAGCTAAAGAGGAGGGGCTAAGGATTTTAACTTTTCTGTAAGGATGATTATTTTAAGGAGAATTTGATTAGATGGTTGATTGTCCCCATTGAGGGCAAATTAAAGAGAAGTTAAATGTCAAAAGAAGTACAGAGGATTGCCCTCTCATTTCAGAACTGAGGAGTGTTAGTGCCAGCTTGGCACAGGGGGTGGCTCTTGGATTCCACAGCCGGCCTTCTTTTCCAATGCCTGCCCACAGGCAGCCTCCTTTCTTGGAGTCTTAAAGAAAAAGCTGGGATGACCTTAAAGAAGGGTGTTTTTGGACTCAGTATAGACCTACTTCCATGCCAGCTTGATCCCTTGAGTTACTGTTTAGGCACAGGATTCTGTAGAAGTTTCTTTCATTTAGAATGATAGACCTTAGAGATGGTCTAATTCACCATTTTCACAAATGAGGAAACTGGCCCAGGGAGTATAAGTGATTTACCCAAAGTCAGATGATAACCATTTATTGAAGATTTGAGATCAGAGCTGTGTAAATGTCAGTCATTATCATTACCCCGTTCTTTTCATTTTTTTCCCGTGGGGTTCACATAGAAATGGTATTGGAACATATTATCCTGCTATTTTTCTTTTAGTGGCTGTTGCATGGGTGGATGCTTGAGCACAGCTGCTGTATACATGTCACTGAATTAGGATGTCAGCCCATCTTCTGGGGGATCCCTGAAAGCATCGTTGGCCCACCTCCCGCAGCAGACAGAACAGGAATGACTCGTCCCTCTTCCCGTTGCCACAGGTTTTAGATCTCTCCTCCTGGATTGCTGCTGCTGCTGTTGTTAATGAAGATGAGGAAGTCAGTTGAATCGTTACAGCTTTTACCGTTTAATTAGATTTTTCTCTGGGGTCACATTTGTAAAATGTGCATGTATATGATGGAAAGAGTTAGGTATCCCAGCTAGTTGGAGCAGGTGGATGAGATGGTAGTGCAGAGCAGTGGCTCTCTATTAAATCTGCGATAGGGTCAATTCTCAGCCTAATGAATTTTTAAAGTTTTGATTTTAAAGTGTTGTGGAAAGGGCACTGGATTTGGAGTCAAAGGATCTTAACTCAAGATCCAGCTCTGCTGCTTAGTAGCTGGGTGACCTTGGGTAGCATTCCTTACCTGTCCAGGCTTCACTTTGGTCATCTCTGAAAGGGGGAGGATGGACTTGTGGACTGCTCAGTTTCCTTGGAGCTCTTGTGCCATGACCCAGCAGGCTTAGTTAGAGGGGATACCTCCCCATGCTCCTGTTGGACATTTGTGCCAGTCAACACCAGACATGCACTATTAGCTCCTTGATGGAGTCTGTCCCTGCAGACAGTGCTGGAGTGGGGGTACCTGCTGCAAGGTCAGAGTCTCTCTCAGCTCCCTCCTCTTCTGGTTTCAATGCTCTGCTAATTGTCTGGCTACAAGTGGCTGGTTTTTCTTGTTCAGGTTCTTCAAATGCTCACCGTCAGCATCGCACAGCTGTGCAACTTTTGACTTCCGTGTCCCCAAGTGTCCTATGAAAACACTGTTACAGATTTGTGGTGGTGATCAAGTGAGTCTTACACAGATGGGATGTCCTGGTCCAGCACTTTGTGAGGCCCTACCATCCTCGGCCCAAGACCACGATTGCTGCTTCTGCCTTTCTGAATTTCAGCTGGACTATGATAAGTTTTGCCTGGTCCATAGAAAGCGCTTCATAAATGCCTGTTGACTTGATTTATTTTAATTCTACATGAATCTTTTATGTTTTGAATGTATTTCTTGTAAGCAACGTATTGTTGGATTCTGTTCTCTGATCCATTTTGCTGTCCTTTTCAGTCATATGGGTCATTTCTCATCTCATTGATATGCACAGTTGTGACAGTTAATTTTGTATTTTTCTCCATTGTATTTGATTTTACTTTTTCTTCTCTTTGCTTCTTGCACCCATTTACAAAGGAGAGGGTTGTGAGAGAGGAGTAGGCTTAGCTTCATTATTTTGTATTTCATGTAGTTGCTTCTTTTCTCCCTCCCTTCTCCTCCTTTTCTCTTCTCCTCTTCTCCTTTCCCCTACTCTCCCCTCCTCCTCTTCCTCTTCCCTTCCTCCTTCTCCTTCTCTTCTCTTTTCCTCCCCTTCTTCTCCCTTCCTCTCCCCTCCCCTCTCTGCCCTTTTACTTCTGTATCAGGAGATAAGTAGCATGTTTCATCTTTAGTCCCTAATCACTAGTTCCCAGTGGTCACTGATTCCTGATTAGTGTACCGAAGTCTATTGGAATAGTCCAGGTGTGAGATGACAGGTCTTGCTCCAGGCTTGTGTCAGTATCAGAACAAAGAAGGAGGTGTATGTGAGAGATGCTGCAAAAGCAGAATCGATAGGACTTGGCATCTGATCAGAGATGAGAGAAGGAGGAGTTGCGGATGACCCCTAGGTCATGAGCCTCGGTAACTGGGAGGATGGTGGTCTCCTTTACGGTAATAAGGAAATTAGGAAGAGGGGAGCACTTGAGGGAAAGATCATGAGTTCAGTTTTGGACACGTGTACAAAAAGCCAGGTTGAGATGTCTACTGAAGTTGGAAATGCAAGACTGCAGGTCAGGAGAGAGGTTAGGGCTGAACAAGTCGATCTGTCATCGGCATAGAGATAGTAATTGAAACCCTGGGAGCTGATGAGATCACCTGTTGCTCCTCCTCCGCCCTAGAAGAGGACCAGGGACGACATCATGAGCATGATGTCTTGACTTGTGCCTGAGTTGGGTTTGAGTGAAGCAGAGCTGTGCAAAGTCATCAGCCTTGTTCTCCAGAGTCATCAAAGGTCCAGGCCACTGTCATGGCTCGGGATGCAGTGGGTGGCCTTGGCCTTCCGAAATTAAGATCTTTTCCAGGTCTCAGACAAACTGAGGACAACAACTATGAAGCAATGGCGAGGTAAGAATTGAGACAAAAGATGGCCCATTTTATAAATCCCGAGGATACCAGTCTGGAAAGGGAAGACCCAAAGAGTTTTTGGCCAGAACAGAAAACAGTTGCTATTTACGCTTATTCTACGTAGTCAAAAAACCTAAACAGTGAGCCACATAGGTCCATTCAGTGAAAGCCAGAATGATTTGGGTTTAAAGGCCTACTCAAGTAGCTCCATTTAAAACACAATGGGCTTTTTAAAAGCCTGTTTTTCAGACATATCTTTCTTTCTTTCTTTTTTTTTTTTAAATTTTTTAGGCAGTTGAGGTTAAGTGACTTGCCCAGGGTCACACAGCCAGTAAGTGTCAATTGTTTGGTCTGAGGCCGAATTTGAACTCAAGTCCTTCTGACTTCAGGGCTGGTGGTCTATCCACTGTGCCGCCTAGCTGCCCCTAGAGCTATCTTTCAAGAAATCAAAACTGAAAACTGCACAGGACAAAAGTAAATTGTCCCAGCATTTTGAAAAGAAATAATAAAGAAGAAAGAGAAGGAGAAGGTGTTTGTTGTTTGTCCTTCATTCTCGAATAAAACCACTTACATCACAGTGGTGATTTCTTGACTCAGAGAATGAATTGGATTTAAGTGGGGCTGAGCTGCCCAAAGTCATCAACCTCGCTCTCTCCTCCAGAGTCATCAGAGTCCAGTGGCAAGACCAAAGTCAAGATGACTAGTGATGGTCCAGCAGGAGAAGGAGACCAGCATTTCCCAGCTTCTAGGCCTGTGACAACATCATGGTTAGCCAGAGTGTTAGCCAGATTAAGGAAGATCCAGCAAAGGAGACAGGAGGGATCAGACAAGTAGGAGGGGAATCAGGAAAGAGCACCATCAAGAAAACTTAGAGAGAAGAGGGCATCACAGAGAAGAGTGTTATCAGTAGGATCACAGACTGCACAGAGGTCAGGAAGGATGAAGGAAAATGCCATTCGATTTGACAATTAAGAGATCATTATTCACTTTGGGAAGAGCAGTTTAAGTTGAGGTTCCTGTTTGAGGATAATGCTGTGCTGCTTGTATTAAGCCGCAGAATACTCTGTGCCTTCCTCAATGAGCTCCTTGTTCTCCCACTAATGATAGAGTCGAGCCTTTGGAGCTCTCAGGTCCAAGATCATCCAGTAATGGTCAGGGGAAGAGAAAAAGAGGGGTAGAGGATGATTCCTCATTCAGGGGGCTGAAAGATCAGAGATGTTGTCTTCCTGCAAAATGTGTCCAAGACATAACAGGAAACTTTCAAGATGTGTAAAAATGGATGACAGTTGCTGTGATTCATGATGTCTTGCTAGAAATTATCAAGTTTTGGACAAGGAACTGAAGACAAAAGGGTACGTGTGTTTCCTCAAGTTTGCCCAGTGAAGGTGAGGAAAGCAAAA